AGATGAGGATAAGGGATGAGGAATGGACTAGCTGGCGGCGAGCAGAGCTGACGTGGTTAGATAAGTGCGGACCCACCCTGATGAGCTGTCGTGTGGGTCCTGCCCTACTGCTGCTGCCGGGCGGCGTGCGCGTCTCATAGTGTTGATGTCGTGTGGTGCGTGCTGCTGCCCAGTGTTGTTGCCGTGCGGCGCGTGCTGCTGCTGCCGTGCGGTGCATGCTGTGCGCAGCCAGGTGGTGCATGCTGCTGTGCACGCTGCCGGGTGGTGCATGCTGCGTGCAGCCGGGCGGTGCGTGCTGCTGTGCGCGCTGCCGGGTGGTGCGTGCTGCGCGCTGCCGGGCTGCTGGGCGGCCCGCTGTGCATACTGCTGCCTATGACTGCGCCGTAGTGCGCTGCTAGGTGGTGTGTCCATAACATCACACCCCTCCCGGACTACGAGCTTGTCCTCAAGCTCGAAGTGGGTGTCGAAAACACCCTCAAAGGAATCCTGTGTGGGTTTGCCCTCCTGGATCGGGTTCCCATGGAGGGGGTTCATCTTCATCTTCCTCTTGTTTCACCAGGAGGCAGAAAAGTCTCTTGCACCTGTGCCCTGCTGAGTAGAGTTCATCGCAATTAAAACATTGCCCCCTCGCCCTGCGYTCTGCCATCTCAGCCCTGGACAAGTGCTTAATAGGGGGTGTACCGCCGCTGCTCCCCACATTGGATGCTGATCTGGAATTGGTGCTCGTCTGTGGCTTCTATTTTGGGCTGGCTGCTGGATATGGAACCATTCCGAGTGGTTCCCTATTGGCTGCCAGCGAAGACCCTCCTCCAATAGGCTTCGGGTTTGTCCAAGCCGCTGTTGGGCATCCCATGCTGAACAACCCTCAACTAATCTGTAGTTTGCGCTCGAAGGCTTGGGCTAAATTCATTGTCGTGACCAGGTTAGGCGGGCTCTACATCTCTACATCAACTCTCAGGGGTTCGGCTAGACCAGCTATGAACATATCCACCTGCTGGTCTGGGCGTACTGAAGAGGCCCTGGCGAGAAGGGTCTGGAACTGCCGCTGATACTCTGCTACGGTACCGGTCTGCTTGAGACTAATGAGTTCCCCCAAGGGGTTGTTTGTTAGTGGGGGTCTGAACCGAAGGAGGCAGTACGACTTGAACTGCCCCCAACTAAGACCTGGTTCCTCCTGCTCCACTCAGTAGAACCAGAGTTGCGCT